GGTTGTTGTTCATAATCTTGTTCCGTTCCAGGTGCTCCACCACTCTTCTCCTGATAATCTTCTCCATAACTTTGCATACTATACACGTCAGTGACACTGGTCTGTAGTTTAGTGCCTCGTTTCTGTCTGATTTCTTAAAAATGGGGACTACATTTGCCGTCTTCCATACCTCAGGTAGTTGCCCTGTTTCAAGGGATTTGTTGAAGATTGTGGTTAGTGGCACACACAACATCTCTGCTCCTTCTCTAAGGACCCACGGTAGATGTTGTCCGGTCCCATGGCCTTTGAGGTTACAAGGTCACTTAGCAGCTTCTGCACTTCCTCCTTGGTTGTGTGTATGTCATCCAACACTTGTCGGTTTATTCCCTGTTGGTGTTCCCCTCTGTGCTGTCCTCCCAGAGCCCTTCCTATCTCTACTGTAAAAACTTCCTTGAATTTCGTGTTGAGCTCCTCACATACCTATTCATCGTTTCTTGTGAGTTCCCCACCTTCTTTCCTCAGCCTGATCACCTGGTCATTGATTCTTGTCTTCATCCTAATATGGCTATACAGCAGTTTCGGTTCAGACTTGACTTTAGATGCTATGTGGTTTTGGGCTGTCGCCGGGCCTCCTTCCTAATCTGTGCATACTTGTTTCTGGCTCTTCGACTAATCACCTTATTTTCCTGGGTTGTTTGCATTCTGTACTTTTTCCATTTTCTAGTGCTCTTAGTTTTTGCCTCCCTACACCTTCGGGAAAACCAGGGGCTCGTTCTAGTCTTCCCATAATTTCTGTTGCCCTTGGGAACAAAACTTTCCTCTGCCTCCTTGCATTTTGTTGTTACGTATTCCATCATTTCGTTTACTGACTTTCCTACCAATTCTCTGTCCCACTGAACCTCCTGCAGGAGTTCCTCATACCTGTGTAGGCCCTCCTTTTATAGTTTGCCCTTTCCCATTCAACTCCTGTTACCCTCTCCACTTGTAACTGTACTAAGCACAGAACCACGTGATCACTAGCTCCAAGGGGCCTCTCATATGTGGTGTCCTCAATGTCTGAACTGCTCGAGGTGAACACGAGGTCCAGTCCGGCTAGTTCGTCCACCCTTCTTTCTTTGGTAATGTCCTTAACATGTTGATGCTGCATGAGGTGCATGTGTGTGTGAGTGTGTGTGTGTATGTGTGTGTGTGTGTGTGTGTGTGTGTGTGTGTGTGTGTGTGTGTGTGTGTGTGTGTGTGTGTGTGTGTGTGTGTGTGTGTACTCGCCTAATTGTACTCATCTAATTGTGGTTGCAGGGGTCGAGACTCAGCTCCTGGCCCAGCCTCTTCACTGAGTGCTACTAGGTCCTCTCTCTCCCTGCTCCATGAGCTTTATCAAACCTCATCTTGTAATAATGTTGGTAGAATTACCGACAATATGTAAAGTAAAAGGACACAAGTGCAACTAATGTGACATTTTATTGTGGCAACGTTTCGCTCTCCATGGACACGCACCTTAATTGATTACGAGAAACAAGCACTGAGTCTGGGACTCAAATTTACCACCAACATACGCAAACCTAACTATCAACTCAACCTAGTTACCAAGAACCATAGACACAGTGACAGCAACTTCCAGAAGGATTATATACAGGGCATTCTCACTGCAGCTTTATGTGAACCTTCTTTTCCTAATCTCAGACGATATATTACTGCCCTTAAGAACCTCGCCAACGACCCCAACATTATCGTCACCACCGCCGACAAAGGAGGTGGAGTCGTCATAGTCAACACCAGTGACTACAGTGATCAGTCTACATACGAACCGATCAGCATTCAACAGTGGGAGACACTCACCAAAGATTTTCTATACAAAACCAGACAAATACTCAAACGCACTAGAGAAGGGAAGAAACTTCTGTACTTGTTACCCTGCAATCCTAAACCAGCACATATGTATGGCTTACCCAAGGCCCATAAACACAATATTCCTCTCAGACCAATCACGTCAGGTATAGGCAGTGCACCACACAAACTAGCCGGAGTTCTTGCCAAACATCTTTCCTGCCTTCTGGGGACCATCAGCCCCGCTCATCTTAAACATTCAGGCGACCTTCTCAACCATATCCGAAACCTCTCCATCCGCAACAAGAAACTAAGCAGTTTGGACGTGGCTTCCCTCTTCACAAAAGTACCTACCAGAAAAGCCATCGAGGTTCTACGATGTAAAGTCAATCAGGACCTTGATCTTCCTCTACCTCCCCGAGATTTTGTTGACTTGATTGAACTCTGTGTTAATTTCATCTGTTTTTCTTTCAATAACAGGCTCTACAAACAAACCTACGGCATGGGAATGGAGTCCCCCATCACTGCCGTCTTAGCTAACTTGTACATGGAACACCTAGAGACCGAACACTTCGGCAACATCATCCCTGCAAGCGTCACTTGGTTACGTTACGTGGACGACGTCCTCGTAATAACTCCCAAACGTTTTGATGTACAGAATCTTCTGGCAAGGCTCAACGCAGTTGAACCGGCGATC